TGAGATACAGTGATGCCATGGTACTCTATTTAGGGTGACAGAGTGAGACTTTGTCTCAAAAAAAAATAAAAAGAAATAAAGGAAAAGAGCAAATTAAACCCGAAGGAAGCAGAAGACAAAATAAGAGCAAAAACCATTGAAATTGAAAAGCAAGCATCAATAGAGAAAAAAAGAGTGGTGTGATCATAGCTCAGCAATCTTCCTTCCTCATTAGCTAGTACTCCAACCAGGCAAAAGCCACTGTACCCAGACTGATTTCTATTCTTTTAAATATGTTACATTGTATTTTGTGGCCCAGAATGTGGACTATCTTGGTCAGGGCTACTTTTTAAGGAGAAAGTTGCCAAAGTGTCTAGGGCTTGGCCAGTTTTTATTTAATGCTAAAATTAAATGCTTCTCTCTCTTGGCCCTGGCACACTATTAGGCTAGTCTCTCACAAAAGATCCTCTGTCTGTGAGTTGTTGACTACAGAGCCATACTTTTAGAGGAAATATGGAGATTGAAGTAGATGATTAAAATAATTTTAGTGGTCATTTATTAGCACTTACTATTTGCCATCACTTTTTATTTACTGTCTTAGTAAGTTTTTCTAACAATCTTATGATTTATAGGTACTGTTATATTACATTTCTCTTTTACAGCTAAGAAAACTGAGATTCAGAGAGTAATTTACACAGAATAAGTACTGGCAGGAAGTTTTGAAATCTGGTTCATTTGATTCTAAAGTCTATATTCCCTAAAGCCGGGCTAAAATAAACAAAAAACAAGGTGTAAGATCCTAATTCATGCTGGATTTTAATCCATGGCAGAAAAGGAAAACTGAAGTTTGCTAAGAAACGTTTGTGTGATGCTGTGCCTTTGATTAATTTCTTTCCCGGATCAGAATTACTGACAGTTTGGGTGTCTTTAGCGGCAGGAATTCCAATAGTAGTGCTTTCTAAGAGCACCTATCTTGAAGTTAAAATATAGACTATGTTTATCTGGCTTAGGGTTTCTCAACCAGGGATGAGTTTTATCCCCAGAGGACATTTGGCCATGTCCGGAGATATTTTTGGTTGTCACAATTGGGTGATGGGGAAGTGGGGGTGGTACTGGTACCTCATGGGATGCTGCTAAATGTCCTGTCATGCACAAGATTCCTTCTCCCCACTCTATACAAAGAATTGTCTGGTCCAAAATATCAGTAGTGCAGAGCTTGAGAAATGTTGAGCCTAGCTTGTTTCATCCTGTTATTATGTTGGAGAACCTTGAGGCATTAGAAATTCCTCTGCAGTCTTTCAGGATTTGGTTTCCGAGGCTAAGTGCTTCCTATGTAAATACTTTGCAGCTCAGTCCATTAACTTAACTCTGGCATATTTCCTTTATCTTCAGCTTAGTGGCGAGTAGCCTACTAAACAGTTGTTTTTTAATAATAGGGTAGTGATTTTTCCTTCTGATGTTTCTGAGAGTTGGCCTGTAGTTCTTGCAGCAGAGAACCTAGCAACAGTACTCTAACCTGTTGCTGGCATCTTTCACTCCCTAATCTGTGTTTACACGGCCCTGAAATCAGCTCTCCCTGGTGCCAGTCTTCGTTCCTCCTCAGCACTTTGGCACCATTGACAGCTTCCCTAGTCTTTTCCACACAGTACGACTCTACATGTTTATTTTATTGCCCAGCTGTTCTCTAGAACACGTTTCTCGAGGCCCAGACTGTATAGAATGCCTCTGAAGCTCGGAGTTGGGAGGTTTTTTGGTTTTTATTTTTTTAAACAGAGTCTCACTATGTTGCCCTTGGTAGAGCACTGTGGCATCACAGCTCACAGCAACCTCAAACTCTTGGGCTTCAGCAATTTTCTTGCCTCCCAAGTAGCTGGGACAACAGGTGCCTGCCACAATGCCCCAGCTATATTTTGTTGCAGCTGTCATTGTTGTCTAGGTGGCCCAGGCTGGGTTTGAACCCACCACCCTCTGTGTATGCGACTGGCGCCGTAACCGCCATGAGTTGGGAGTTTTAGTTATTTGTGTTCCCATTTGCAGATCTACAGAACTCAGAAAGCTTCTGGTGTTATTCCTTAACTATTTTCCTATTTGCAGTTCTTATCCCCTCCCCCAGAATAAGCTCTTACTTTCTGAGGTTCATTTCCTCAATTTATTTTTTACCCTCTCTTAACAACTTGCATTTTGTTCATCATATACCGAGAAAATCCACTTATACCTCTACTGTTTAGTGTTAGATGCTTTTCTGTTAAAAGCTGAAGGAAATGATAAGGAACTAAACTAATTTGAGAGAGACCAGTAGTCAAAGGAAGATATCAAGCATCTAGATAAGCAACCTTAGGAAACAATTCAGAAGCCCCACAGAATTGAGCCTGGGTCAGCATAAAATGGAATAATTCTTTCCAGGGAAGTGGTAGACTGTGTACTAACAGGTGATTTTCATTATCATTAGAGGTGTAGAAAAATCAAAAACTTCCTTTTAATGAAGTCATAGAGATATCTTACCCTCCTCATGACCTACAGGTACAGCAAAAGTTTCCAAATCAGATATGATTATTAAAGGAATTTTCTGTGAAGTTAAAGCCAGGGTATATATTTACCTCACCTGTATGCCACAGGGCCCTCAATAAGGCTTTGGGGTCAGTAGACTCACTGGCACCCCCAAATGCTATCTTTCTCAAGCCTTGAGGGAGATCATCACTGCTTAGAATAATGTATTTGAATTGGCAAGATTTTAAAGAATGGGGTTGTTTTAGTGGTATTGATTTCTCTATCTAGAACCATGTTTTTTAGCCATTATTTCATTATTATTTGCTTAGGAACCTTTTTAGACATTTTTTCCCTTATTATCTCCCCTCTCTTGAAATTTTAATATCACAGATATAATATGTCACATATCTATATATAGTATATAATAAACATAAACAGAATATATATCTATTTATATACTCTGACACTTTGGACAGGAACAAATGATTTTACTATATAAGATTATTTTTTTGCCCCCATGAACCAATTTTTTACCCTCATGGATAATATTGCCTATGTTGAGAATGGATAATCTAGAAGTATTATCATTTCTTTCTTTTTTTTTTTTTTTTATACATAGTCTCACTCTGTTGCACTGGGCAGAGTGGAATGACATCATAGCTCACAGGAACCTCAAACTTTTGGGCCTAAGAGATCTTCTTGCCTCAGCCTTCCAGGTAGCTAGGATGACAGGCGCTTGCCACCACGTTGGCTTTTTTTTTTTTTTTTTTTAAGAGATGGGGTCTCTCGGCTCGGCGC